CCGCAGCAGACATGCGTGCTAGAGCTGCCGAGGATGCTCTCCTTCTCACGCTCTTCTCTCCTTCGGATGGCCCGGCCTGGTGGGGCCCCGGATTGCCTTATTCTTTTTCTTGTTGGTGTTTTGATTTGAGGAAGGGAGAGACAGCTCCAGCTCCCTTTTCTTGGCATCCCAGTCTTCGTCCTGCTGGTCCAGAGGCAGCCCCTTCTGCCTGGCGGTGCGCCGGTGGTCCCGGCACTCGGGTTCAGCCCTGGAGAAGGGGAACACGGCGGTCATCAGCCCCCCGCTGGCGGGGAGAGCCTGTCCCGGCTGCGGCACGGCCCCCTCTTCCCGCCCTCTGCACACAGCCTGGCCACGCCAGCAGTCCAGGCGAGAAGGAAGAAGGTCGAGTTCGAGCATCTCCCAGGGCACCTGTAGGGATGCCTCAGACACTAAAGAAATGACTGGGAGATGGAGAAAAATGGCAAGCCCCTGAGTGGGAAGTTCTAGAGCTACCAGCATCTTAGTAGGTGGCAGTTTTCCTTCATTTCTTTTCCAGTTGTATTTTTTTTCCTAAATATAAGACCATGTCTGTCCGTCGTGTAAGATTTTAAAGTATGGAAACATATACAAAAGACATAAAAAATACTCATAATCACATATGTATGGTAGGTATAGATGGCTTTATGAAATAGCTAGGTGACATATAGACAGATGACAGATACAAAACAATAGAATAGATAATAGAGAAATAGGTGAATAAACCATCATATACACGTGGACAAGGGGAAGTATACGGAAGTATCGTCTGAAGTAAAGTGCAAAGCATTACAAAAAGCAAGGTTCAATCAGAAGACAGCAAACCCGTTTGCCCCTCAGTCCGCATCCCCCCCAACAAGCTAGAAGTGACCGCTCCATACTCAGGCCTCGTGGTACCCCTCCTCTGCCCTGTTCTTTTGACCTTTGCTACCTTCTAGCTTGTATTAGTGTTATTGATGTAAGCAAGTATCTCCTCTCCCGGGGAACTTAAGGTCCGGCACTGTCTCTGAGTCATCCTTAAAGCCCTTTGAGCATCTAGTTCAAAGCCATGGGCATGGTAGGGCTCCAAAGTATTTGTGAATGAGAGATTTACTCAGAAAATTGTCAAATACTGCCTAGGCTTCTTCCAAAATTCTCTTATATCCTTTCTCGTCATTATCCTAGCCCAGGAGCCCACCTGCTTGCAACAGGGGCTGTTAAGAAATCCCTCAGGGATCTTCATCCCCCCAGTACCCCTGAGCGTCCTCACACATACACACAACCTGTGCACATCTCCAACTTGATGCCTTCACTCCAAATCAAGAATCTTTCTCCCTCCTTCATTAGTCAGATCTTAGCTGTCTTTCAAGGTCCAGATTAATTACCCCTTAATCAGGATTTCTTCTCTCTGAACCGTCTTAACTGTCAAAAGGGAAGTTCCTCACGGAAGATGACGATAACTGGAAATGACTTGCACTTGATGTGGCTGACCTTTGTTGTTTTTGTCGGCTCAGCTCTGCTTGCCCACTTTTCCTGGTAATGGCACCCCCCACTCTTTGGAGAACCTCTCCTCCTCCATTTCAGTTATGCTGAGATCGTGTATCACACTCATCCATGCACTAGTCACTGAGGAGGGGCTGAGATTTTTGCAGAGAGAGTCAGCAGACGATAGCCAAGGACAGGATCCCGAGGAATTTCAGCCTCTAAAAGTCATGCAAGAATAGGAGCTCAAGAAAATCGTGAGCAGAAATGATCAGATAGGTAAGCAGAAATAGGAGAGAATAGCACCAGAGAAGAGAAAAAGTTATCCAAAGAGACACGCCACAGGAGAAGAGTAATCAGATATCACATTAAGTGGAGTTGAGACGTGAGTTGAGAAGAGGCCATTGATTTCGCAACAAGGACCTCCCTGGACGAGCCCTGATTCAGTACAAAATGGAAAACAAGTGCAAAGGTGGATGAGGAAGACACCCACATAGATTAACATTAAATTCCCCAGATTAACATTTAAGTAGCATAGAAATGCAAGAAGAGCTCGAGCCCCGTGTAGGGCTCCATGCTCGGCGTGGAGTCTCCTCAAGTTTCTTTCCCTCTCCCTCTGCCCCTCCCCCTCCCCTCTCAAATAAAGAAATAAATCTTTAAAAAAAGAAAGGAAGAAATGCAGGAAGAAGAAAGAAAGAGCAGACAGTAAAAGGACCTCTAAATGTTTGTGTGTTTGTTCAGTAAGATCTATTTGAACACGTTCAAAGGCCAGAGAGGACTGAGGGGGGAAGGAATAGAAAAAAGCTAAAAATACAGGAGAATAAAAGATGCAACATAGAACACGGGAATGATGACATTGTGGGAGATATAAAGGTCTGGGTTAGGGTCTATATGGAGGGACAACATGTAGGAGGAGGTTTAAACATGTAAGCCCTTGGCTTCAATATTCTCTATGCAGTAGAAAGCCTACTTTCTGAGGGACAGGCTGAGGTATGATGGGGATGTGAGCTGTCAGTGAAGGAGCAGGGCAGGGAGACAGATTGCCAAACTGTCCCAAGAGCTCAGCTGAAGACAGAAATCCCAGAACTTCTGGTGGTGCCCATGAACTTATTTGTGGGCTTTTCTCTCCCAGACCAAGCACAGGGGTGAAGATGGAGACTGATACAGGGGTGGGAATTCTGGGTCACATGGTATAGGAGGACAAAAGGTTGAAATTTAAGAATCATGCAAACAGAGCGGAAGAAGTGGTGTATCATGATGTCCGGATGGCAGACCGATGGAAGATCAGGAAACCTTCAGGCCGATGATCGATCAGGAGAGAAAGAAGTTGAACGAGAAGAGGTCTTGATGCACGCAAATACCTGTGTGAGGAACTGGCAAAATGAAGAAAGGGAGCTATGGTCACAGAGTGATATGTTAGAGCTTTTAAAAGTTCAGAGAACAGTGTTGCCGTTGCTGAGGTCCACAATGGATAGAGGTCACTGCGTGGAGCAGATGACGTACGAGCGGGGAGAAGAGTCTTCGAGTCAGGACTCAAGGTTCTGCTTTTACCCCCCAAGTCAATTTGATTATGATTTTGAATATTTTTTTAAAGATTTTATTTATTTATTTGACAGAGAGGGAGAGAGAGCACAAGCGGGGGGGGAGCGGCAAGCAGAAGGAGAGAGAGAAGCAGGCTCCCCGCTGAGCAGAGAGCCCAATGCGGGGCTCGATCCCAGGACCCCGGGACCACGACCCGAGCTGAAGGCAGATGCTTACCCGACTCAGCCACCCAGGCGCCCCTGATTTTGAATACCACTGTTAAGAGAAAGTCTCTTGGGTTACTTCTACAGATATCTAATCTCATCATAAGCAACTCTAGTTTAACTTCTGGAAGATAGCTTCATTTGCAAGTTCTTAGAAGTGCATTATACAGTCATTCCCCCTTCCCACCGTGAACTGCCCTACAGATAGATTCTCTATGGATCTCATTTTGGTTTTCAAGCAATGCTGCCCTCATTCACTTTCTTTACTGCCTCTTATACGAATGAATCACTTATTAACTCAACCAGATTATAAATTCCCCAATTTTATTTCCATCCCTCCCAAGGCTGTACCTGTCAAGTACATAATTGATACTTAATTCTATTTGAATGCAGTGGGTGAGAGAAAAAAATTAACAAGTGCTAGAAAAGTCATGATCTTTGGTGAGTGTGTGAGTAGAAGATGCATAGATGAATAGAAGTTTTAAAAGGTAGAAGGGCCCTTATAACTGATAGCCTAATTCACCAGCTTCCTTTTTAATATGAGAAACCTGAGGATCAGCAAGGTGGCTTAACTTGCCCAAGGTCACACAGCTAGTTGGAATACCTGTCAGGGGTCTGAAGGGGCTCCACGAATCTTGTACCATGACCCATTTTCAAATTTGGTGTCCCACCTCTCTTATCTGAGATAATTTTTGTATCATCTAAAACAATAATTATGAGAATTGCATACTGTTAAAATTATTATAAATATGTGTCATTATAGTAATTATAACTTTGGTATAATAGAAAAACAGTAGATTTTACATAATCTAAAACAATATAGTTTCCACCCAAACTAGTCATTTCAGGGAAAAGAAATAAAAACAACACAAACGACAGTCAGCTGAATTTGCTCGTTTCATTTTCATGGACCTCAGACCACTGAGTCAGCAAAGACCTTGACCCCAGGCTCCTGTTTCTCTACCATTTCTCTAACTGGAAATAAATGAAACTTACTTCTCCAGGAACGCCACACAGGCGGTCTGCCCGTAGATCTGTGCGATCCTCTTTGGCGTGTCTCCAAAGAAGTCGGGGGCGTCGATGGCGGCGTGCAATGCATGGAGAACTTTGAGCACATTCACGTGGCCTGACTCGGCTGCAAAATGAGCTGGGGTCCAGCCCACATCAGTTACCAGGCAGGGCCTGGCTCCATATTCTAGAAGGAGCTGCATCACCTCCATGTGCCCTTAGACGTACCAGGAAGAAACAGGAGGAGGTTAAGATTAAAATGTCTCTGCCTGACTAGGGCCAGACGTAGCCTGGACAGTATAAAAGAAGGGATGACACTTGCTTTGAGGCCCTTCCCGGTTTCCTAAGCATCATCCCCTCCTCCATCTCCCTCTCTTACCTGGGACTCAGCGCCCCACCGTTACCTCAGAAACCTTGCTCCCACCAGAGTCCTGGGCTCTGCAAGTATTCCCTCTACTCTGTCCAGGGCCCTCCCTTCCCCTGTTCATTCCCACAAGCCCTTCCTAGGAATCTTGCTTTCCCTCCCAAGTCACCTATGCATGCCTATGCGGACACTGGTAAGGCTCACTCCGCTTTTGGCAGCCTCAGCGGTGATTCAAAAGCAAGTATTTTGCAACAACTTGGACGGAACTTAAGGGCATTATGCTAAGTGAAGCAAGTCAGAGAAAAAGAAATATCATAGGATCTCACTTATACGTGGAATCTAAAAAAAACAAAAAGACACCAAGGTCGTAGGTACAGTGAAGAAACTGGTGGTTGCCAGAGGCAGGGGCTGAGGGGTTGGAGAAATGGGTAAAGGGAATTGAAGGGTACAAACATCAGTTATAAAAAAAATAAGTCCTGGAAATGTAACATACAGCATGGTGACTGTAGTTAATAATACTGTTTTGCATATTTGGTAGTTGTTAAGAGAATAGATCTTAAAAGTTACTGCAAGAAAACTTTTTGTAAAAAAAAAAAATCTTTTGTAACTATATGTGGTGACAGATTTTAACTTCACTTACTGTGGTGATCATTTCATAATATCAACAAAAATTTAATTATGTTGTATACCTGAAAGTGATATAATGACGTATATCAATTATACCTCACTAAAAAAATATTTTAAGTCCCACTTAAGCCAGATTCAAAGCATAGGCTTTCAATCCAAAAGATGTGGGCTCATACCTGCCAGTAAGTAACACTTGCTAACTGTGGAATCGCAGACAGGAGACAAATGTCTGAGGCCCAGTTTCCTCATTTGTAAGTGAAAAATGTTATTACTTACCTCACTGAGTTCTTGTGAAGTACAAATGAAATCACAGACATAATGCATACAGCATGATGCCTAGCATACAGCAAACCTTCACTAGAAGGCGTTTTAGTATAGCCACCATCACTTTGTACTCAAATTTCTGCAAAATTCTCCCAACTGATTCTCTGCAACGAGTCTTGCCTCCTGCCAATCCATTCTCCATACAGAAATCCAAACAGTTTTTTTTAAAAAGCAAGTTGACTATAATACTCTCTTCCTTAACGTTCTTCAGTGGTGTTCTATTGCTGAAGGCCTTGACAAGCCCAACGGCTGAGTTTTTGCCACTAGCCTCCTCCAATTTCGTAACTGAGCCATGTGAGGGGTGGGGGACACAGCAGTGAACATGACAGGGTCCCTGTCCTACCTTTCTTGTTGGAGGTCAAGAGGGCAGAGCACTAGCATTAATTGAGAGCAAACTATGTGCTAGGCATGTACACCCATTATCTTAGCGAATCCTCACTGCAAGACGCCAAGATAATCACTGTTCCCACTATGTAGGTGAATAAATTAAGGCCTAGAGATATTAAATAACTTGCTTAAAGTGCTACAACCAGTAAGTGGTGGTGCCAGGGTTGACATGTTCCATTTGGCTCTCAAGAAATGTTCTTTCCACTACCACACACGGACTACTGACTGGTAACCTCATGAAAGGCGGACTCAAAGGGATGGATTTTACCCAGGCATTGCCCACTCACCTTTGATTGCAGCCCAGTGAAGTGGGGTTCGGTCATTCCAGTCCACATCCTTGTAGTTTGGGTCACAGAGACCTTTTTTCAAAATCTTTCTCACTAAATTGTAGTCTCCTGCAGCCACAGCTTGGTGGAGCTTTGTCATGTCCGACATTTTGGTCAATTCCATGACCAAAAAAAAAAAAAAACTATGGGAAAAACATACCGCTTAGGAAATTCTCTACAATTCTTTATTCCATAGGAATAAAGTGATCCCATAGGATTCCTTATCATTTACTTTCTTTCTTACCTCACAAATTCGTATGTGTGTGCTCTGCTGAGGGTGTATTTGGATTTCAGCCACTGAGATTAGTATATGCCAGTCCCCTACTGAAGAACTATCAATGGCTCCCCTCTGCCCCCAGGAATATAGGATGAACTCATGGTTTGGGGTTTTCTATTTGGCCTCAAACTACTTTTCAGTGCTATTCCCTACTCCGATTCCAAACTGTGTGATTCTGAATTAGTTGTGCAATTCTGTGCCTTACCTTTCTCATCCATAGCATGGGTATAATTTGTCAAATTTGTTGTGAGGATACAAGGACAATCCATGTGAAAAATTTACTGACTAGACACAAAGCAGGCACTCCGTAGAAATTTAATACTATTGGCACACCAATTCAGATGGACAAGATGTAAACATGCAAATAAAATGCTTACAAGTTTTTTACAGCATTAAGACATAAATTGACAATTCTTAAACTATAGTTTACAGATGCTTAGGAATCCTGATTCTTTCAGGGGATCCATGAGATCAAAATTATTTTCATTTTAATATTAAAATGTCATTGGCCTTGTGCTGACATTTGTCCTGATGGTTCAAAAGCAACAATGTAGAAAGCAGCCGGTACCTTAGCACAAAGCAAGGCAGTGGCAGTGACACCGAACTAGATTAGCAGTCATGGTATTCTTCACCAGCACACACAAAGTCAAAAAAAAAAAAAAAAGAAAGAAAGAAAGAAAGAAAGAAAGAAAGAAAGAAAGAAAGAAAGAAAGAAAAAGAAGCTAGTTTCAATAAGGAAACTAAAGTAGTAGAGTTCTTTTTATATATGTTGACCTTTGACTACATGACTTCATAAAAAATGATTTTAAAATATTGTATAACAAAATGTGTCAACATTTGGAAAGTCTGCATAACTCCGTGAACAAATGACAAGCGTATGATGTTACAAAATCATGCATGGGTAAAGAGACTCATTCAGGATAGGACAATGGATTTTAGTGAGACACAGTATGAAAAGTACAATGAGATTGTTTTAGATTCCAACTTACTTGTAAAGCACTACCACCTGTCCAGTTTTGGTGTAGTATTAAAGACAAATATCCACAGTTATCTGAAAAGGTTATAAAATACTCTTCCCTTTTCAATTTTATATATGTGAAGGACCAGATTTCCTTTCTATATTTCTCTCTTTTAAAGATTTTATTCATTTATTTGACAGAGAGAGAGAGAGAATAAGCAGGGGGAGCCCCAGGCAGAGGGAGAGGGAGAAGCAGGCACCCCGCCGAGCAGGGAGCCAGACATGGGGCTCCATCCGGAACTCTGGGATCATGACCTGAGCCAAAGGCAGATCCTTAAAAGACTGAGCCACCCAGATGCTCCTTCCTTCTATATTTCAACCAAAACAACAAACTGAATGCAAAAGAGCTAAGAATACATCTGTCTTCTATTAAGTCACACAGTAAAGAGATTCAGCTACATAAAAAATAAATAAATAAGCTGTTCTCACTTCTTTTGCTTTAGAAAATGTAATTATTTTTCATAAAAATATCACTAATGTTATTGCATATTAGGCTTACTATGATTTTTGTATATGATTTAATAAACATTTAAATTTTTTCTCAGTTTTAATTTCTAATAAGGTAAATATTGATAGCTATAATCCATATAGACAAAAGCTCTCTGGGGTTCTCAGTAATTTTTAAGAGTGTAAAGGAGTCCTGAGACCAACAAGTTTGAGAATTAGTGACATAAACAAATAAGGGGTTGGGACAGAAGAAAAGAATGAGGAGAGAGCCACTTGAGGTGGGGCTAGCGGGAATGTCTCTTTGATCCCAACGTTGAAGTTGAGATCTCACGAAGAGTTTGGAGTCAGCCAGACACGCTGTGGCCCAGCAGCGGCATCACCTAAGAATTTATTAGAAATGTGAATTATTGAGCCTCATATCAGACCAACTAATGTACACTGAAATACGAGGATAGCCCTAGAATGGGAGAGAAGTACATAACACAATTAACATGCAATCTCCTAAGCGTTATGATGGCGGTGATTTTCTGGGGTTAGAGGGAAAGGACCATTCCCCAGGACTAGGAAGTAAAAGGCACTTTTTTCTGAAAGTGACCTAAGCTCGTTCCCGGAGGGATGAGTAAGAGTCATCTTGGGCCCTGGCAGTGATGGAAGATCAACTCAGGCACAGCGCATGGGTGGCGGAGGCACATTCTGCAAAGGGCAAGTGGCTCCAACTTTGGTATACAGACCAAGGAGCCACAAATATTTCCTGTAAAGGGCTGGGTACAAAATTTTTTTAGCCTCTGTAGGCCAAGAGGCAAAAATCAAGACTATGATGTAATATTACATAACTATTATGTAACAAGAGAAAATCTCCAGCCAGGGATGGGCCATCCTGGGGGAGGAAGGGGTGGTGGAGGTGGGTGAGCATGCTCTGTGCTCAGTAGCCCTCAGCTGGTGACAGTCTCAGGGGGAACAGCAACCAGCCCGAGGGGGAGGGGTCTGGCTGGTAGGATGGTTACTTTCCTTCTATCCCACGGATGCCCAGATCCCAGCATGCCCTCTCTCCTTTCCAAGAGCCCAACCATTTCAAGTTGAAAGCTGGTGGGAGGCAAGGTGACTTGACTGAACTAATTCTATTGCTCAGTGCCCAGAAACTGCTGACAGCTGACTTCCCAAAGTGTGGGTGGTGACCAGCAGGGCCCTGGGCAGAGGCCAGGCACAGCTGTGGGCTCAGGAGACAGACTAGGAGCAGACTTGGGAGCAGTTGGCTTCCCAAAGCTCACAGGCTTGCCCACTAAGCGCTACCACCATAGGCGGTGACCATGGGCCCGAAAAAATGGAGTGAGCTACACTTGGCCTGTAGACCATAGTTTACCAACCTCTGGTCCATATAAAGTATCTGGGATGTAGGTAAAATGCAGATTCTGGTCTAAGATGAGGCCTGAGGTCCTGCATTTGTAGCAAGTCCCCACAACAACTACTAGTTCATAGCCCGCACTGAGTAGCCTTGGCTCGCTGGCTCTAAGGGAGGGGGGAGGCCTGAGGTAAGGGAGAGGCACTAAGGATGCTGCTGCTGTTCTTTCCTGACGGACTACGTGAGAATTACTGGTGGGTTTTAAAAAAAAAATAGAGGCCTGGGCCTCAGCCTGCAGTGCTTCAGGAATCATTAGCTGTGTCCGACAAGAACATGCCTTTTTGCACGAAGCGAGCACCCAGTCCATGCTAGGTAACAGAAGATGGCATAGGATATGCTTTAACTTTTTGGCTTATTTGTTTTAGTAAAAAACCCTTACACTGGAGCACTGGATCAATGATAACATAAAATGGTAAACAGAAGTACTAGTGGATTTCTAACCTGCAGCTATCACAAAAAGCCAAACCAGTTTTAGAATCAGTGTCTTGAACCCTCTGCTTGCCTTTCACACAAACCTTTAAGCAGGTTTATGCTTAAATCACCCCCATTTGTTTCACACTTGAGTTCATACCAAAGAAATCCCACAACTTCACACAGAGAAGTTGTAATTCAAGTAGAAGTTTCCAATGAGCTGCTTAATTTATTTGCAGAGGAATTGATGAACTGATCCTAAAAACTTATATGGAAATAAATGCAAGGGATTCAGAAGAATCAAAACAACCTTGCAAAAAGAATGAAGTAGGAGGACACAAACTTCCTGATTTCTAAACTTACTTCAAAGCTACAGTAATCAACGTGTGATATGAATGAAGTACACTGTGCCGGCATAAAATGTGGCATACAGATAGATATATAGAGCGAAATGGGACAGAATTGAGAGTCCAGAAATAAATGTTTACATTTATGGTCAACTGGTTTTCAATAAAGGTGCCAGGAAAATTCAATGAGGAATAAATAATCTTTCCAAATGGTACTGACACAATTAGATATTGCACAAGAATGAAGTCAATCCTTTCCCTCACGTCATATACAAAACTTAAGATAGATTACAGATCTAGGGGCACCTGGGTGGCTCAGTTGTTTGAGTGTCCGACTCTTGGTTTCAGCTCAGGTCGTGATCTCAGGGTCCTGGGATCGAGCCCTGCGTTGGGCTCCGCTCTCAGTGCGGTCTGCCTCTCCCTCTCCCTCTGCTCCTTCCCTCTCTTGTGCTCTCTCTCTCCCTCTGTCTCAAATAAATAAACAAATAAATTCTTTAAAAAAATGGATTACAGACCTAAATATAAGAACTTAAACTAAAATTCTTAGAAGAAAACATGGGAGTAAGTCTTCATCACATTGAGTTAGGCAGTGGTCCATAGATATAACAACAAAAGCATAAGCCACAAAAGAAAAAATAAATAAAAAGCTGGATTTCACCAAAATTAAAAAAAAATTTTCTTTTAAGATTTTATTTATTTTTTGACAGAGAGAGAAAGACAGCGAGAGAGGGAACACAAGCAGGGGGAGTGGGAGAGGGAGAAGCAGGCTTCCCGCGGAGCAGGGAGCCCGATGCGGGGCTCGATCCCAGGGTCACGACCTGAGCCGAAGGCAGATGCCCAACGACTGAGCCACCCAGCCGTCCCCCAATTTTTTTTTCTGTAAACAATACCTTTGAAAAAGTATAAAAGCAACTACAGGATGGGAGAAGATATTTGCAAATTATATATCTGATAAGAGACTTGTATCCAGAATATATACAGAACTCTTACAATTCAACAATAAGACAATAGCTCAATTAAAAATGGTCAAGGAATATAAACAGAAGTTTCTTCAAAATAATACGCTCATGAAAATACACCCAAAATAATAAGCACATGAAAAGATTCTCAACCTCATTAGTCATGAAGGAAATGCAAATGAAAACAACACTGACACACTGCTCACACCCTCTAGGATAACTGTAATCAAAAAGACAGACATCATGAGTGTCGGCGAGGATGCAGAGAAGACGAAACC